GACGAGAAAAAGACAAATTCAGGAATGAAGTATTAAGAGAAAAAGGCGGCACAGAGCCAATTCTAAATTACATACAAAGGCAACAAATTAAATGGTTTGCCCACACAGACAGAATGCCTTGTGACGCCATTAGGTGTATACCAAAACAAAGAGCACAAGGTAGACCAAGAACAAGACTGAAAGATAACATCAGAGAAACTTTACAAAAGAACAATGTGTCCATAGCCGTGGCAGCCAGAAGCGCAAAGCAGAACTTTAGATTTGCCTCAACATCTAAAGTGGTATAAAGAGGAATTGATCATCATGTTATGCTTTAGGCTGGTACTGAAGCTTCCAAATCATGCTTCAGTCAGTGGGGTCTGCCCATGCATGCCTGGCTCAACACTACAGATGCTTTTTTTTCTTTTCTTTTTTGAGTTCACAATTCAGAGGTTGGGTGGCTATTTGTCTTGTAGTTTACGGCCATGATTAGATATCTGTGGCTTTCGGCCCAACAGATCCCATTAAAGAAAACCCTTAAATTTAGTTGACCCTTTAGTTGTCTTTGATGACAACGTATGGTAAGGGGCAGAGTATCACCCCCTCAGAATGGAACCCAGAACCTATAAAGTGCATTTTACTATCCGTTCTCCGCTGTTCGCATCTTTAATTGGATCCAAAGATTATTAACAACAGTTTGTAATAAGGCTTCAACCATTTTAGTTGTATTCCAGGTTTGAGAGACAATTAGGACAATTAATGTTATCAGTGTTTTGTTTACTGTGATTCTGATTCTGCAAGACAGAGCATTTGCTGTGAGCCTAGATTACATTTCAAAATGAAAAACCTATTCCCCCCCCCCCCTTTTTCCAGCCAAACACACACACACAAGTATTTATAGCGTGCATGATTTTAAACCTATAGTTCGTGCACTGTTGCAGATCTTCACATATCAATGCACACAATTAAATACACTGAGGCGACAGGTTAAACAGCAAAACAAACCTCGACACACCCCACCACCACATCTTAATGTAGTTTACTGACTCATTGTATCTGTTATCTTCTTTAACAACTTAGGAAACTCTCACGCAAGTTGTGTTCTGTTACAATTTGATTACTGAAGCATGTTTTAATAAGGCCCTAGAGTGCTGTGTTAGTGCAGCCTGCCATCATACAGCATCATTACTATATAACTGGTCTGTAATGGTGTATTGTCAAAGATGTTTTAATATGTCGTCACTAAAGTACACCATAAGCATCTAAACAGGCTGTTTTCCTTTCTAAGATTCTTTTCTTTCTTTCTTCTTCTTCCTTTCAACCGTCCCCCATTCACTGAAAGCTGGCACCAAATCCTTTCTGGTGCACACACAAAAACTCAACCATAACACATTACCAGTGCAGTGAAACAACATCAACATTACATACACAGTGGCCGTCTTGACATGCATACGTGTCATCGCTGTCAATTAATCGAGTCTACCAGTTGACCCATCCGACTAACCAAACGGGACCTGTGATTTATAGGAGAACAGTTGAGTACTTATGGTAGCATGAAACTAGTCCTTGATATCTGACTACATCAACATTATATGCAGTCAATGATCCTTTACAAAATGATTTGGAAGCTTCAGTACCAATAACGGCCACAAGAAATATGTTAAAAGTAAAGAAAACAAAAGTGTATAGGCTATATCACACAAGTAATGATATCTTCCCCAGAGCATTATGCAAGGGCAGGAACAACCATGCAGATATCTTCCATCTCATAACAAATAAACACGTCACTGAATGCTAGTAATACATTATGAGGGAAGAGTATTGAAGAAATAAGGAAGACCAAGTAACACAAAGCTCACCCACAACATATATAGGAAAATAACCATAAACAGAATGTCAAAAATACTGAACAAACCTCCATTATAATATTTATCTCCTTAAAAAAACTGCTGTTTAATCATAATCTTCAACTACTGGTGTGAAAAGCATGTATCTGTTCATGTGCTGACACCGTTTATGACATGAAAAAAAAATTATGTAAAGAATCATCTCACGCTGTCTTCCTCTATCCCTATTTCCACAAATCTTTCTAGTCATCACTACATATTCCAGTTTCTTGCTGCTCATGTGGCCAAACAAAATTATGACAGCATTTTACCAATATTTGTGATAAATTAAGGCCCTTTCCTATCCAGATTCATATGTTCAAATAAATAAAATTGCGGGTGTAAAATTATAGCGTCCTTTATTTAAACTGTATGTAGAAAGGGAGAGGAAAAAGAATTGGTCTTACGGGTTTCCTTACAAGCATGTTGTAAAAAATGACTAATTAGGAGTGATTTCTTCAAAGTTGTAGTGCATCTGCCTGAGAGACGAGGAACCAACACTTTGCACATGAATAAACCAGATCTGAAAATTTGGGTGTGCAGGAAAAACTCAAAAGACCAAAGTCCAGAAGTGGATGAACAACCAGAACTTGCTACCAGAGTTTACAGGCGGTGAATGCCAAGAAGAATAAGAAGAAACTTTATGCACAAGCACTAAAGTTCCTCAACCCACTTTCTGAGTCTCACTGATCTGCTATTTTTAGTAGCAAATGAATCCAAAGGGAGCAGCAGTTGCACTGTGACTAGACTATTGCCTGCCAGACCCAAAGGCCTTGGGTTTGAATCTGCACTGAGGCAAATTTTTATAAAATGATATAGAAGTAAAGGTCGAATCAAAGCCTAAAATGTGCATCAGGCAACATCCTGGTAATTGAACCCCAGCCAGTTTAATGGCATGGAAGATCCTCTGTGTTAGAATTGTTTGAAAGTATACAAGACAGAAGGTTGTGGAAACATGACTACCAAAGCCACACGGCATGGAAGATCATCTGTGTTAGAACTGTTTGAAAGTATACAAGACAGAAGGTTGTGGAAACATGACTACCAAAGATACACGGCATGGACTACAAGGTGTTAGGTTAGTTGCGTATTCTTTAAAGGACGTTGCAGAACCAACCCCAACAGCCCATAGCTGTTGTGTGGTTTTTCTAGGCAAATTTACGTCCAGTAGTTTGCCATTGCTTTCTGGATGGTCAGCTTTCTTGATACCACTGTCGAAACCAACGCAAGGCGCATGGCCCGCAGCTGGGATCAAACCCGGCATTACGAAGCGTTCGCATCGACTTAGCCACAAAGCCGACACTACAAGGTGTGCCCATAAAAAAAAAATTTTTTTTAATCGATCTGGCATCATGTGGTAGGTAGGTAGGAAGTTGTACCCACCATTACATCACACAAGCGATAAACACCCGGTGACACAAAGTGCCACCATGTGGATAAGGATCACCCGTGAAGAGACCCCAGAAACCCCTATTAGCGATTAGGCCATATCTATGGCCTAGGCCATATCTATGGCCTAGGCCATATTCGAGGCCCCTGGCAGAAGCCAGGGTGTTGCTTCAAATAACAAAAAAAATAACGACTTATAAAGTAGTAACATTATCCAACCCTGTATCTGAATATTACAAACTGACTGCAGGCATTCTGGTCATATAGGGGTAGACCTATATTTTATAAACCAATCTGAACTCTGTGGGGTGATATGGCCAACATGGTGCTGGATGCCTTTACTTCCAAGGACTTCACCTGGTATTTCTATGAGGTTAGGTCAACATTGGAGTCACATTTTTTTTTTATCCAAAGTCCGGCTCCATTCAGATTTGAGCCCACAACCTGTCGATCAAAAGGTGAGCGTCTGGCCGCTATACAGCTCTCTTAGTGTAACTATAAGCCAACATGCAGTGGATCGCAAATTATTCCTCCCCACGGCACTTAACGGCAAAAGTGGTTAATAATGATGACAGGTGTTTATCCATTAAATAATTATTTTATAATAATAGTTTAAAAGCCTAACAATTAGGAACGACGGCAATGTAGTGGCTAGTACACTTACCTACCAGCCCGAAGGTTACGTGTTCATATTCCCATCGAGGCAAGGATTTTTCTTTTCTTAAATGCACACATAATCCCCGGTTCACACTGCTTAAAATTGGTACCATGAAATTATATGAGAAGTTAAAGTGGCTGTTGAATATTGGCTATTTCGTTCATTTGGTTTTAAAAGTATGCATCCTAATGGCCGAACATGCCCCAAGGTGTGGTTAAGAGTCCGTTACTTATACCTTCTTAACTGTTACATTATGTTTCGTACAAATGAATTGACTAAGGGAGCCGCTAGGGTGGGACAGAAGATACCTGCAGATTGGAAGGTCGTGAAACCAGGTCCTGACAGAGACAGACTTTTGGTTGTATTTGTTTAACCATGGCTCCCAGGTCAACCTAGCTGATGATGACCTAATCACCCACTGGGTGCAGATCTGGCCTAGCCCTGTATGTTCAACATGCCTGAAGGCGTGGAAAAGGGTCCTTTACTTTATTCATTTAGGGGATGTTTTTTACGGGGTCCAGGGAAGGGGGTTTTATCATGTGACTGTCCTGGGTTCAGTGAGTTAACAGCGACAGTGTTTATTCTTGACACCATATAATCATAGTCCCATAACATAAGTCACTGGGTCACGATATCTTTGTCCATCTCAATAGTTCCCTCCGTATCTGAGGTCAGATGCAATGGACATGATTTGTGCATGCCAGAGGTCTATCCATTTAACCCAATTCTGTAAACAGGTCTTTCCTGGTCTGCCTCTTATACTCTTTCTGTCTACCGAGTCCTGTAGTACAAATGAATCAAACTGCTGCAGAATTACAGCTCTGACTATAGTAGAGCTATTTCTGTGTGAAAATTTTTTTTTACCAACAATTTAGAAGTCAATATGTATTGTAATCATTTCATCAAAATAAATGAGTAGAAAAATCACCTGATCAACATAATGAGGGGATATTTACACTGAGAAATATGTCAGAAATAAGTACAGACATTTAACCACTAAAAACTGGGGTCTTTGAAATCAGCAGCGAAACATATAAAATCCTCACTTATTCACAAAATAAACATGTACTTGACACAATAGGCAATTATTATCTCTTTTGCTTTCTTGTTGGTGGACTTTCATCATTGTCTTGCTTGCGTTTGGCAGCTCGGTTAGAAGGAAGTGAGTTTGATCTACCTCTTGTCTGGGGTTTTGCCAGCTCTTGCTGCTGCTGAATTTGCAATCTGGTTCCAGGTCGGGATGTTGGTGCGCTAGCTGGGGTTACAACTAATTTGTCACTTTCACCTGCGATCCCTCTTCTTCTTCGCTTAGGAAAACTCTCATTAGAAGCAGCGCTCGTGTCTGAGGAGTTACCAGAGTCTTCTGGCATACGCCTTTTACTTCTGGTTTTTGAGCATGCAGCAGGTGTTTCATAGGTCTCTTCAGATGATACTGATCGTTGGCCTGGAGACGGCAAAGCTGATGCTTGTGGTGAATAAACAGATTCCTTTGACTGTTCTAATTTGGGTTCTAGGGTGGCCATTGTAGCTCGTTCAGAGTGTGATGTAGCTAACATGTCTGTCTTCAAAGGAGCTGATGATGGTGTAGAACTGTTTTGGTCTTTAATGGCAGAATTATTTGCCTGAGATGATTCTGACAGAGAAGTGGGCTCTTCAGAAAGTAGTACTGACTGCTTAGTTTCTGTATCTGATCCTGTTGGTTCTCCTGCACTCTTCTCAGATGTTTCTTGGATGTTATCACATATAATATGTACTATATTGGCATGTAGGCTTTTTAGTGTCTGATCAGAAGTCAATTCAGATGATAACGACTGAGTAGTATTTTGAGAACTGCTCTGTTCTATTCCTTCCAATACATTATTTTTAGGAAAAGGGGAAGTTGCTGAAGCATGTTTTTCTTGGATGGCATCCTTTGCAATATGCAGTGGCTTAACATATGTGCTAATAAGTGTCTGATCAGAAACAATTTCAGATGATGATGACTGAGCAACACTTTGAAAACCACTAAACTGTTCTGTTTCTTCTGTAAAATTCCTTCCAGGAAGCGGGGAAGTTATTGCAGAGCTGTTTTCTTGGATGCTATCGTGCATAACATGTACTGGCTTAATTTCTGTGTTATTCAGTGTTTGATCAGAAACCAACACAGTTGATGACACAGCACCACATTCAGGGCGGAGTGAAGAATCTTCTACTTTATGGGAATCTGCAGTGCTGGGTGCAACACTAAACTCAGAAGGAGGCACAGAGTTGGATTTATCAGTGACTGCACTAGTGTCTTTGCTGGAATACATTTTATCACATGAACTAATCTTTGAAGAAATAAACTTCAGTGTATGTGACTGTACAGACTGTCCTGTGTTTAAATGCACTGATTCAGTGTTAATTGTCAATGGCTGTGCTAGAAGAGATGATTTTATGTCTGGTTTTATCAGGATTGATGAGTCTAATGAATACTCTTCACTGTGACCCCCTTGTAAAGAGGATATTGTCTGTGGCTGGATGCTTTTTTCTGGCACAATGGTGGATTCTAAACTAAGAGTACTTACTAAATGTTCTTTCAGCTCAGGTCTACTAGCAACCTCTTCATATACTACAGACAATTCTGAAGATATGGGTGCACTGCCATCTTCATGATCTTCAGTTCTACTAACAATCTCTTCATATACTAGAGACAGTTCTGAAGACATGGGTGCACTGCCGTCTTTATCACCTTCAGGTCTAATAACAACCTCTTCACATAGCAATGAAGGCTCTGATGAAACCTCTGATTTTCCCTCAGCTACTGCATGTGACATGACTTCTAAAACATGGGTGCTTTGTTCAACAATAATTAGTAATGACTGTTTTGACGTCTCTACTATTTTTGTAGTGCTAAGGGATGGCTGTTTTGATGTGTCTATTGTTTCTGCTGCATTAACAGGATGTTCTTCAGAAACACATGCAGAATCTGATAATCTTTCATTGTCCACTAACGTAAGGCAGGAGCCTGGCTGTGAAATAATTGCACTTTTTGTATTCTCCATTTCTACACAAACACTGGACTGTACTAAAACAGAGATATCACTTTCCACTTCTGAAATACTTTGTGACACAGACTTTTGAAAGTCTTCATCTCTAAACTCTAAATATGATTGTGTTACTACTCTGTCTATGTCTTTGTTTTTCACCTCTGACTCAGACAGAGGTGTCAAAACATGCAAGCCATCCATGCTCACTTCAGAACTTGAGGGGGGTACTATGGATTCATTGTCCTTGATGCTAGTTTCTGAAGTTTCTTGTGGTGAAAGACTTTCATTTGGTCTAACTGTTAACTCGGGCTGTGACTGTGAGATACCATCTTTCATGTCTTCAATTTTTCTGTCTGAAATTGACTGTAAGACAGCAACATTTCTCTCGTTAATATTTAAGCCTGAGTTTGATAAGACAGAATCTTGTATATCTTCAATGACTGTTTTATCTGAATTTGACTGTAAGACAGCATCTGTTTTGCCCTTAATGTTTGTTGTGTCTGCTCTTGACTGTAATACTGGATTTGTCATGCCCTCGAGTTTTGTCCCAGAACATAACTTAGAAACATCATTTTCCAAGCCCTTTATTTTCACTGCCAAATTGGAGCTTACCATACCAGCTTCACTGCTAGGAATGCTATGTGACTTAAACTGAGGCTTATTTTGATCCTCACATTGTTGATCTGGCCCATCCAGTGACTTACCATTGTCAACTGCCTTATTTATTTTCAAGGATAGCGACTTGGACACAGTTATCATCAAGTCTTCAGACGTCTGTAGCCCTGAATACTCTATACCCTTAGTTTCAATTTCTGAACCTGAATGCCGTATAGTTTTATTATTCTCAATTTTCTCTTCAAAATCTGAAATAGGTAAAGCACTTCCAGTAATCTGTGTCTTTTCCAGACTTGCATCCAAACTGTTTACAATGATGTTACTTCCCTCAACAACATGATGTAAATCTGTCACAGGTTCCAGAACATCCTCTGAAATAATTTTTTTAATAGCTTTACTTTCTTTAACTTTCTGATGTAAATCTGTCTTGGAAACAATATGCTCTGAAATAACTGTCTGAACATCTTTACTTCCTTCTACTCTCGTATGTAAATCTGTTGCATCAACAATGACATCCTCTGACATTAGGCTTTCAACATCTTTACTTCCATCTACTCTATGATGAAAATCTGAAGCGGGCACAATAACATTCTCTAAAATGACTGATTCATAATCTCTATTTCGCTCAACTTTGTGGGGTAAATCTGTCACCAGCTCAATATCATTATCCAAAATGACTGTTTTAACATCTTCACTTCCCTCTGCTTTGGGATGTAAATCTGTCACCGGCTCAATATCATTATCTGAAATGATCATTTCAACATCTTTCTTTTCCTCAACTCTATGTTGTAAATCTGTCACAATTAGAGTATCTGAAATGACCGTTTTAACGTCTTCACTTCCCTCAACTTTGTGATGTAAATCTGTCACCGGCTCAATATCATTATCTGAAATGATCATTTCAACATCTTTCTTTTCCTCAACTCTCTGTTGTAAATCTGTGACAATAAGAGTATCTGAAATGACCGTTTTAACATCTTCACTTCCCTCTGCTTTGTGATGTAAATCTGTCACCGGCTCAATATCATTATCCAAAATGATCATTTCAACATCTTTCTTTTCCTCAACTCTCTGTTGTAAATCTGTCACAATAAGAGTATCTGAAATGACCGTTTTAACATCTTCACTTTCCTCAACTTTGTGATGTAAATCTGTCACCGGCTCAATTATACAGTCTGAAATGATCATTTCAACTTCTTCATTTCCCCTAAGTGTCCCTTGTAAATTTGTCACTGGCACAATAACACTATCTGACATGATTGTTTCATCTTTATTTCCATCTGCTTCTTGATTTAAATCTGTCACAGGACTAATAACACTCTCTGTAGTGATGGTTTTAAAAGTTTTCAAGCTGTCAATTTTTGAATTCAAAGCTTTTGTACCTATTGCTTCTGAACATGATGTTGAGTTCAATTCGAAATTATCACCCCTAAAGTCTTCTGCTGACAAAACTATTGTACCAGACTGACTTGTGTCCATCACAGATGTGTTTTTCTCTCCTTTCTGCAAATGGGTACAATCTGAAATAACTGTATGGTGCGCACCTTCAGATTCAATAAGGCCCAGCTTGTGTTCTTGAATGGCCACTTTACTGCAGGTTTGAACAGATGGATATTGCTGTGAAGCTGGTGATGTGCTTTTCTGTGATGACCAGCTCTGGGAATGTGTGTCTGGAGGATGTACTCCTGCTACTGTGCAAATAGGCAGCCATGGTTTCAAAGGAAGCTGTAAATCAGCAGGTGATGATTGTGTAGAGAATGGTGACACAACTAATACATTAGGTAACAAATCCTGGTGTTTTAAAGGAGGTTGGAATTTAACTCTGGGATCTGCAAATGCCCTTTGTGAAATATGTGAATGGTCTAAGTCCACTGTGTCTTCTATTTCACCTTCTTCAAATTCTGGAGGTACCAGGATCTTTTCTGAGTCACTAATTTCACCCTCTTCAATTTCTGGGGGCTGTATTCTGGAATCATCCTCATCTACTGGAGGAGGAGGAGGAGGAGGTGGTGGAGGTTGGATATCCAAAAACATTGGAGGTGAATCTTGAGGCAAAGGAGGCTGAAACCCATCTGTGTCTTCTGGAAGAGGTGGAAGGTCTGAAGGAAGAGGAGGCTGATGTGGAGAAAATTGTTTTAAGAAAGCTGGATCCGAATCTTCAACAGGATAATCAGGCAGCTCATCTGATGAGATAGAGCTTCTTCCAGGTGACATTGGTGGGCATTCTATAGACATGTTATCATCCTCATCACCTTTAGATGTTGCAGATGAAGGTGCTGGTGATTTTAACCTAGATGGAGAATAAATCAGTTCACTAGAAGAAATGGATTCTCTCTTCTTTTTTCTATTTGACTGAGCTGATTTAGATGATATGTTTGATGAAGATGGCGAGTTTTTGCCTGGTGACTTATTGATGGTGGCTTTTGGTGAAGGTTTTGGAGGTTCTTCATCTGGAAAGTATGGTAATTCATCTGAGGAAATAGATTCATGACCTGATGAAAGGAGTCTCTCCCTAGACTGAATTCCTATGGGCAGGGAAGGAATTTCTGAGAAATTCACAGGTGAGACAATTCTCTCTGGACCTGACAATTTGCTAGTGGAAGTCTGTGATTTCAGCGAAGATGTTTTCTCAGTATCCGTACTTCTGCGCTTAGTTCTTTTCTTTCTTTTTAAACGTTTCTTCCTTTGAGATGACCGAGATGATGAAAATGAAGATGATGAAGAACTGGACCGTGACCCAGACTGAGATCGTGATCTTGCAGAAGAAGAAGAGCGAGAGCGTGATGACGACGCAGATGACACTGGCGAAGGAGCAGACAACGTTTTGTACAATGAGGATGACCCTTGATCTGAGGCTGGCGAGCGATGTTTTCGTTTAACACCATCAATAGGATAAGGTGGGGGAACATCATCCCTGAGTCGAACCGACGATCTACTCTGTGAACTCGTTTCTGATTCACCTCCATCATACACTGCAGCCATGGGGGATCTCAGACGTGATGAAGAAACCGCCTCGTGAGAAAGCGAATAGCGAATTCCAGAAGAATACTGACTGTGTACGTTCAAGCTGCAAAAAAAAATTACAGTTGAAATATGACAAAAAATATCTGCAATTGTTTCAAAGTAACTTCAGAGGCTTTGCATGGCTGAATATTTAATGTACTATGTGCTTTCTTGTCTATTTGACCTTACAGTCAAAATGTGAAAAATGCATGTCAGTTAATTGCAAGTTCTAACTAATACAATATTTTTTCCTCCACATCTTGTATTCTGCAGTAATTTATAGACAAGCCTTTTAATCATTTTTGCTATAGTTATTTTTAAGTTTTAAAAAAAGGCCTCTTCTAATGTCATTTTTGTGTTGGGCATATGGTGTTAGACACATATTTTGTAGACCAATTAGTAGACTTAAGTAGAAGTGACCAATGTAGACACCAGATTTCAGTAGTGTGCTCTGAGAAAATAGATAAGGTAAAAGAACATAACATATAATGACTGAGATTTACAAGATAGGATTAACACATCATGCATCCCTTGGTACTGAAAGACCTTGAGATGGCATCCCAGTTTATGGTCCACAGTGGATTGGGCAAATGACTAGAGATCGCTGAAGAAGAAGCTTCCATGAATATAACTGGATACCTATAGGCTGGGTCAACTTGGGAACTCTGGTTATGAATGTGATGCAGGGTAATATACACATTTGGTAGGGGGCTGCATGGTCTCAAGGTATGGTGTCCGCCTTGAGTGCTAGAGGTCCCTAGTTCAAGCCCGGGTAAACACTGGGATCTGTTCACATGGACTTTTAGTAAGTTCCCCTGGTCTCTGGGTAGTGAGATCGGATGCCCATGTGTATTGCTGCGCACGTTAAAAAAAAAATCCCTCAGCAGTTGGAAATCGAAAAGAGTAGCCTAGTGGCGCTGCGTGGGCAAATTTTAGAGTTAAAAATCTACCCAAAATATTTCAGGATCCTCGTCGGTGCTGCGGAACCTGTGCACTGCGACTTATGGATCACTACCCGTGTGCCATGATGTTGATCCGTTGTTCAAACCTCATACACACTTGAGTGTCATAAATATCAGTTTTGCAAGCTTTATCCCACTCCTGTAAAGAATATAGAATATGTATCTGAAAGGATTATAGTATTGAAACTCTACGGGAAAACAAGAAATACAAGCATTGTGCAGGTATACGCACCCACCAATGATGGTTACACCTTGGAAGAGAAAGATAACTTCTTTGACTCAGTGGCGGATGTCATCAGTCAGATACACGCAAATGATGATCTTATGGTAATAGGTGACCTAAATGGGCATATAGGGCAGAGGCGAACACCGTGGGAGGAATATATCGGGCCACACTCAGACAACAGCAAAGTCTGCAATTACAACGGGCAGCGTATTTTAGAACTTTGTGCAGAGCATGGCCTTTATGTCACCAATAGTTTCTATCAGCAACGACAAAGCCAAAATAAACACCTGGTATAAATGGAGCAACCCAGACCAGGCCGCACAGTTGGACTACATACTAAATCGACAAAAGAGAAGAAGCTTAGTAAAAGACGCAAGAGTAATTCCTAACATCTCTTTAAATACAGACCATCGACCGCTGATCGTATATCTAAGCGAAGCAACAATTAACAAAAAACCAAAAACATCAGTACGTACCTCAATGATTGACATAAGACACCTAAGCAATCTAGACAACCAAGCAAAAGTACAGGCAGAAATGACGGCGAAGATGGCTGAGCTAATAACATCAAGTGACAATGTGGAAGCTGCGTGGCAAAAATTTAAGAACACTCTTCTGAACTGCCTAACAACACTCTGTGGTATTAGATACACAGGAGGAACGTTCAGGAAAAAAAACAGCATGGTGGAATGATAACGTAAAACAAGCAGTGAAATGTAAAAAGGAGCAATACAAGAAATGGCTCAGATGACGATTATATCAAGTACAGAATTGCCAGGCGACAATCTGCAAGAGAAATTAAACAATCCAAGGAAACATCCTGGATCATGTATGGGGAAAATCTTACCAAAATCTGTGCTAAATCTAGTAGACAGTTTTACAAAACCATTGCAAAAATGAGAACTAGAGATGAACCATTCCAGCCATCTGAATATGTCAATGATAGTCAAGGCAAACCCATACATGAGGAGGGCAAGATCAGAGAAAGGTGAAAAGAATATTTTCAGACTCTTCTGAATGTAACAGGAAATGAGGAAACAGTACCATTCACACCCAGATGTACAAATGAGGAACAGCCTACAATAATCGAACAAGAAGTCAGAGAAGCAATCAGATGCAGTCCCAAAAATAAGGCATCAGGTGTTGATGGAATATCAGCCGAGGCAATACAGGCTTGTGGAGAAATTGGAGTCACCTGGCTACTCCACATATTTAGGAAAGCCTGGAATGAAAGAACTGTACCAATAGACTGGCAAAGAGCACTTATAGTCCCAATTTGGAAAAGAAAAGGCAATAAGCAAGATTGTAACAATTACAGAGGCATCTCCCTTCTAAGCCACGTAGGAAAAATGTTTGCCAAAATTCTGGAACAACGAATTAGATCCGTTGTAGAACCGATCCTGAGCCCATCACAGGTCGGATTTAGGAAAGGAAGAGGGTGTACTGACGCTATTTTTGCTTTAAGACAAGTTGGCGAAAAGACAATAGAACACAGACATCAAATGAACATCGCTTTCGTAGATCAAGAAAAAGCTTTCGATAGAGTAAACAGAAATTTATTATGGAAAGTTCTTGAAAACTACGGTATCAATGGAACAATTTTAGATTGTGTTAGGGCTATTTATAGACAAAGTGAAAGCGCCATTAGAACAAGAGCTGGCATCACAGACTGGTTTCCAGTAACATCAGGAGTAAGACAAGGTTGTGTATTATCACCTTTACTTTTCATAATATTTATGGACAATATTAATAAAATAGACATAACACCAAAAGATGTCGATAAACAGGAGGACTTCAATGAGCTGCTCTTTGCCGACGATCAATGCATATTTCACAGTGATAGTAAACAGCTGCAAGACCACATAAACCTACTACACGACAGTTGCCTCAAGCATCATATGAAGATCAATACTGAAAAGACAGAAGTCATGAGCATAAGTAGAGAGCAACAGACCATCGACATAAAGATTCTAGATCACAGCCTAAAACAAGTGCAAGAATTTAAATACATGGGAAGTATCTTTACATTCAATGGTAAAATAGACAGAGAGGTCGAAGCAAGAATCCAACAAGTCAACAATGTCGCATACCAGCTTGCCCCAATTTTAAAACACCCTGCTGTCCCAGCTGAGATAAAAAGACAAATTATAAATACAATCTTTATACCGACATTAGGTTATCAATGTCAGACTTGGACATTAACAAAAGAACACGAGAGAAGACTAACCACCTGTGAAATGAGATGTTTGAGAATGGCTGCGAATCAAACCAGAAGAGATCGAGTGAGAAACGATGTGATTACATTTTCGTTAAATTTATTGAGAAGCAAAGAATGAAATGGTTTGGTCACCTAATGAGAATGGAACCAACGATGCCAGCATCAAGAGCATACAACATGAAAATCGAAACACCAAGAGGCAGGGGAAGACCAAGAATAAGATGGATTGAAGGAGTCACTGACAACTTGAGACTTCATAACATCACGGCATATGAAGCGACTGAGCGCACCCTGGCTCGGTTGCCGATCATCTGATAGACTGCGACGCCTAGCGGCACAAGCAGATTTTGTCAAAAGAAGAAAGATCCCACTCCTGCCTAGGTCTAAATTTCAATTTTTTCCCAGCTGTTTCAATTATTTTTGTGTGTGCAGAGTGCAACAGCTTAGTTCTTAAATTTTACTCTCTCTCTTTTTCCCTCTCTGTCACTTGCTCTCACTCTCTCACACAGAGATGGGGGATGGGAGGATAAATATCAGAGGGAAGAACAGAGAGCAGAAGAGATAAAAGGGGATGTAGGAAATGGGAAAAGGGGGGGGGGGGGGGGGGGGGGGGGGGGGGGGGGGGGGGGGGGGGGGGGGGGGGAAAGAGAGAGAGCACATAGATCTACCTGCAAAACTGTTTGCAATCCTATTACAAACAATTGTGTGATTTACAATAACTACAAAATAAGGAAAAGTGGATACATACTCAGTCTGTGGCCATGCAGTGTAGCCTCCCCTATAAGGAACAGGTGGATGGCTTGGAACCACTATCCCTCTAGTAGGCCGTGCCCTGTCAGGCTGAGCTTCTGGATAGAAAGATCTGCCCCCTCTTGCTCTCTTTTCAGCTTCTCCAAAATCAACCAGCTCAATTGGTTTTCGACCAGACATTCTTTCTTTGTCCTCTGTGGCTTTTGCGGAATCATCAGAATCACTTTTGATCTCTCCTTCATCGGAAGCCTCATCATCATCTTTAGTTACAACGTCGCTGATCTTAGAAGGGGTTTCCACCTTGACAACTTGTGAAGATTTATGTGAAGATTTATCATCATCTTTATCTGAATCTTTCTCTTCACCTTCTTCTTTCTCCCCATCAGATGACTCATCAATGCTGAGATTGTCCAGAGGTGAATCTTCATCAGACACTGGCTCAAGTTCCATCTCTCCCATGATATCCACTGGTTCTTTGGGACTGGCCATCTCTCCTTCCTCAGCACAAGAGTCCTTAACATCATCTTTGATGATTTTCTCCCCTTCCTGAGGCAGCGAAGTACGGCTGCTAGCAGCTCCATTACTACGCTGTGATGTCCTGTCTTCGTTATCTGAAAGACTGGATGGGGCAGCTCTTGATGACCTTGAACCAAAAAAAAATTTTTTTACACTGTAAAATATATACAAACAAGAAAATAAAAATCATCATCGCCACGTGTCCTGTCAATAAGCATAGGCAGTCATGCTTTGCTACCCAACAGGATCATTAGAATCGCAGATCAGGTTAGTGCTTGACTAGCCCTGTTCATATGGCCAAGCCATTCAGTTATTACTCATTGCAGCAACAACAAAATCAGCACACAACACCCCCCCCCCCCCCCCCCCCCCCCCCCCCCCGCGCCCCACAAGTTTTACTAGCAAGTCTCAAGCTATATCTATTTTTTTTATATTAGAAGAAGACAGGGTGGCTCCAAAAGTTCTACAAGCTTATCTAAAGTAATATCTTCTTTCCATCAACAGAAGATGTAAAAGTTATACAAGCATGCCTACATATATATCTTAATATTTTATTCCATTAGAAAATAATGGTGGTGTGCTTTGTCTTTATGTGAGAACCATACAGGTCCCCAGTTTCACCAAGTGTACCAGTAGTTCCTAACGTTGTAAAAGATGGTTCTAATGTTATATCTTACTTTTTAAAGTCAGAAGATTTAAATGTTCTACAAGCATGTATAATTGTATAATATATTTTACATTCGTAATACTCAAAGTTGTAGAGGCGTGATTTATCTTTTATCACTAGAAGATAATGGTGGAGTGCTCATCCCTATATAAGTATTACACACTTAATCTATATCACCTACTATGCCACTGTGGCTCCAAAAGTTTTACTAGTGTGTCTGATGTTTTATTGTACATTTGTATAATTAGGTCTTAGTTCTACAAGCAATTATCATTAGAAGATAATGGTGGGTGTGCCTGTCACTTATAGAAAAACTACACACTGTATCCCCTACAATGCCATTGTGGCTTCAAAAGTTCCACAAGTACGTCTAAAGCTGAATGTTACTTTTTATCATTAGAAGATCTAAAATTTATACAAGGATAGATAATGTAATATCATGAGTTTTATCACTAAAAGATCTAAATGACAAGCATTTCTAATATGATGTCTTACTTTTTAATCAATTATTATCTTAGTTTATACAACGAGCAAGTCTAATGTCATGTCTTACTTTTTAATCAATTATTATCTTAGTTTATACAACGAGCAAGTCTAATGTCATGTCTTACTTTTTAATCAATTATTATCTTAGTTTATACAACGAGCAAGTCTAATGTCATGTCTTACTTTTTAATCAATTATTATCTTAGTTTATACAACGAGCAAGTCTAATGTCATGTCTTACTTTTTAATCAATTATTATCTTAGTTTATACAACGAGCAAGTCTAATGTCATGTCTTACTTTTTAATCAATTATTATCTTAGTTTATACAACGAGCAAGTCTAATGTCATGTCTTACTTTTCATCATTGGAAGATAAAGGCGGACTGCTCGTCCTGATGAGAGAACTACACACTTCCTCTGGATCGTCTGGCTGAGCATGGTCATGTATAACTGTATGTGGTGATTTCCTGCAAAGATTCATACATTAGTCACAACAAAGATAGAACAGTCACAACAACAGATAGTGTCTCCAATTCTTGGAGGTCTTCTTCACTTCCTCTTTCACCGCTTCATGTGCGGAGGGAGATATAAAGTTCTGGTCCTTGCTTTCCTGGCTGCCTCGACCACAGACACATCATGCTCTTGGAGTGTTTCTCTGATGTTATCTTTCCATCTTGTTATTGGTCTACCATGTGCTCTTCATCCAACATTTGGTAAATGCCCTGTATGGTATGCCATTACAGAACATTCTCTCCAAATGGGCAAACTATTTGATTTGCTGTCTTTGTATTTTAGAAATGGTTCCGTGCTGACTTTTTCTATTATAACCTCATTCCTGATTGTATCAGTTCTGGTCTTTTCTGCAGCCCTTCTCAGAAAATTAATTATTCTACATCTAGAGTGTCTATTCATGTGTAACTGTTGGGACTCAATGTTAAGAGGCCGGACACCAAAAAGTTGCTGGGCAAATTAATTGTAACATACATTTTTTGCCCTCTCTTCTTATCTCTTTTTCTGCCACCAATGTGCTCTCGAATGCTAATATACCTGCAGGACACCAGAAAGTTGTTCAGAAAATTTCCTAGTAAAACCTGTTTTTTCCTCTTGTCTTTTATATTTTTTCTGTCACAAGTGTGCTCCAAAATGTCCAATTACTATTCTAGATTATCCAATGATAGTGAAATGATAGTCTGAGACTAAATCTTTAACTTCTGGAAAATTTTAATTTTTGGCAAAACTAGACAGGCATGCGCCTGTGTGAAAATCTCAAGTTTGGGGTATTTTTAGGCTATCTGAATTTGTGTCCCCAGTTTGCTTCAAAATGTCAAATTATACATCTGGATTACCTTCTTCTTCTTTTGCTCACCTGAAATAAGTTGTGTATATCAGCAATTTTGCCTCTCGTATAAATTTTACTGTCATTTTTAGTTTAGTGGTCCATAGAGTTTATGTTCCTCTGTTGTTCTTTCTGGCCAAAAGGTTTGCCTTTATCAAATTCAGTGTAGACCTGGAGTACATGTTCTGTTGTCTGGGGCACATTTCCACAGGTGCACATAGCTGACACGCCTATCTTGAATTTTTTTTGCATATGTGGTTATATAAATTGATTGTGCCTTGAAATAGAGATGAAGGATAATAACTTGTTCTGATCTGTCCATAATAAAATAGTTGTTTTCTGCTGGGGATGGTGGTTTCCTGATTGATTTAATGATCCTTTTTTTTTTTTTTTGTTCGTATGTAACTAGTAAAATCTGTTTTTCCCTCTTTTCATATCTCTTTTTTTCTGCCATCAATGTGCTCCAAAATGTCCAACAACTCATTGACATTATCTGGTGATGTGCAAAATGATACTCAGACAAAAATGTTATTTTTCTGAAAATGTCTATCTCCATTTTTGCCTCCAGTTTTCTCCAAAATGTCAAATTATACATGGTTACTAATTTTCTTTTATGGTTTTTTTGTGAGTGGCCACGTCTGGCACTGGTGGCATACGGTTGGAATGAATATATTCTTAGAGGTACTGAATTTTTTATAGTGAAATAATTCACTCCTCTCTGGCTGCGTCATGTTTTCATTATTTTCCTGCAAATGTTAAGTAGTTATAAATTTCTTAGTTATTTTGTGTTGCCCTACTGAGTGTTAGAGATCGATATACGTATTCTTCTTTCAGGTGACAACATTAATGATTTTCTCTTTGTTCTGCTTTGCATACTTTTATTGTTCTTACCAAGGCAGATTTGGTCAAAGCCCTTAGGAAACAAACAATAGAATCAGTTGAGAAAGAAGATTATTATGGCCTGGAGAGAATGAGGCACCTGGGTGTAACCAGAGTCTGGCCGGCTCACTACACTCAGAGGAAAGGCAAGGCGGACATATAACCAGATTGTGACCGGTAACATCAGTATTGAAATGCTGCGCTAGCTGCTGAGGATGAGGACAGAGCACACATGGGAATGCCCAGAGTGCTGTGATATGAAGTCTTAACTCAACTCAACTCAACCTAACTATTGTTTTTGCGGCTTTCAGGGGGAGTTCAAGAGTCGCAGTAGAAGATCTGATGTGAAAGCAAGAGGGTGCCCTGGAAGAAGACAGATTACTGACATTAAAGACATTCTACATTCCCCAGAAATTACAACAGCCAGAACTTTCCACATGGCAGAAGTGGAACCTGATGATAATTAATGAAAGACGGACAACAGTTGAACATTAAAAGGCTTACCTTTTACTATCTTCTTCTGTCAGACTGTTTTCATCATTAGGAATTGTTACGGAACTGAACTGGGCTGTAACAACATTGACACTTTCCAAAGAAGACACTGCATTTCGATTCTGAATCTGGCTATCATTAGAATCCGACTCAAAGACAGCAGGTGAGCAAGTTCTCACTGCTTCATCCTCTGAAGAAACAATAAATAATAACTCTTGAACTCTATCAATTTTTTTTTTCTCTTTGTCTGCCTTTATCTCCCAAAACAGCATAAGCTCTTAACCAACCAACATTAAACAATTTGTAGACTTGCTTACGAGTGGGGGTGGGGGGAGGGGTTTGTTTTTGCTGCTAAAGTTTCAAGCTAGTCCTATACCAACCCTTTGATGCCACTTAAGACATGCATTTTTGTTTACAGTGTTGGCATTCTTTTTTTCCCTTATGTACATTCAGGCTTATCAATATAGAATCAGGGGGCTGAGTGGTCTTAAGGCATGGCGTCCGCCTCAAGTGCTGGAGATCCCAGGTTTGAGCCCCGGCGGAGGATGAAATTTTTTCCAGTCTCTGGATAGTAAGATCGGACGCTTGCATGTATTGCTGTGCATGCAAAAAATCCCTTGGCCGTTGGAAATCGAAAAAAAATAGCCCAACGGCGCTGCCCCGGCAAAATTTAGAGATAAAAATCTACCAAAGTATTTTAGGATCTTCGCCGGTGTACGGAGTTCATGCACTGCGCCAAGATTCTTCGCACTCAGGCTTGAGTTAGAAGTAGAACGGAGCACTTATGGGTTACAACCCTTGTGCTAAAAACCTAAAAAGAACCTTTTCAGGCCAATGGTGGATTAAGTATATGATGAGAGAATATTTTCATGCAGCAATTAGTACTTGAGGTCAGATGTGGCCAACTTCATTCAGGCCGTTTTTTTCTTCAAGACTTGACCTGACATCCATTTTAGGCTGAGTTAATCTCGATGCCAAGGCCATTGAAAAAAATTTTTTTCCAACTTTAAGCAAATTAGAACCCAAGATTTTGGGCTAGCTAGAAAATAGTATAGCTGCTATGTCTCCAGGGCTCCCACTATCAATAAATTACTGCATAATAATATATTCACGTAGGTATATGTATGTGTGTATGCAGGTGTACCTGTATACTACATATATGTGTGTGTGTGTGTGGGTGTGTGTACGTACATGTGAAGCATTTCTATGAAGAATTTCTCACCTATTTCTTTCTCTGTTGGTTCTAGATCAACAATGTCTTCATCTGAAGAGACCTCTTCCATTTCAACAGCTACTTTCTGTTCATCCTCCGATTTGTCTGACATAGATCTGTCTGAGATGTCGCTGTATGGTGACCGACACTGCAGGATCAGGTCTTCGCCAACGGTTTCAACAACACACTCCTGACATTTATGACAAACACAGGTGAAATCATTATGTGTATAAACTAGTATTTATAATAATAATAAATTTTTAAAAAATTACAAACATAAATTAATTATAATTACATACTACTACTTCTTTTTTGTTCACCCTTAAAATAGTGGTTGGCATATTGAATTGTGTTTGGTTTACAACTAAACTGCGATATCTGCATCTCTCAGCCCAACACATTTGATTTCAACAAATCATAAGTAGTTGCCTTTTATGGCATGCTTGCTAAGGAGCAGTGGGTCTATTTTCCCTCCCCCCTCAGCAAAATGTGGTGCTGATGTGTGTGTAAGTGTGGTTATCTGTAATGTCCATGTCAAAAGATGTAATACTATAAATGTTGGGTACACTGCTTTATGGCCCTGGAGAGAATCCAGATGTGTGTATGAGGTCTGTCCAGAAAAGAACAAGCCACAGTTAATATGAATAAGAATACTGATGTAACCCTGCAATTGAATAAGTGGTCTGTCGTGTACATACGTGAGGAATGACAACATCGCTCCACCAGTGAGTGAGACCACAAAACATCATTTAATGAGCATGTGCACTATGTTGTCATTGTATTCAAATTTGATGAATGAATACAGCTTTTGGGAATGTTGCAATGGGTGCTTCAGAAATAAAAAAAAAGTGGCACAAATTCTTCAAAATGGTCGTGAATCTAATGAAAATGATCACGTTTATGGAAGGTCTGTAACAAGCAGAACCCTGTAACAGAACATTTAAAAGCTGCAATCAATAAACATCGACAAATAACAGTTCAAGAACGAGAAGAAGATCTAGAGATTCCAAAAACTTTTGTGTCTGGAATTCTGACTTAGGATCTGGGTATAAGACATGTGGCAAAATTTGTCTCACAAATTCCGCTGCCAGAACAGAAGGAGCATCACGCCAGCTGCTAAGGGAATCATAATCATAAAATTCTTGACCACCTTTAAGCGTTTGTAAAAAAATTTTTTTTTTGTTTTGCACTCATTTTATCGTCCATAAAAGTCTTTTGAATCATCTAAAAAGTTTTTGTGGAGGAATGATGAAGCTTAACGCAGATTTTGAAGCAAATCCTTGCTCACTTATTCAGCCATTCTGAATGCAACAAATGCAGAGCGCACATGCTCACCAAACAGTGTTCAGTGGTTTCATGATGGTACAGGGACATCATCACTGCTCAGGTATTCCCAAGACGGGCAACTCTATTTGGCTCCCAAGTTATATCATGTCACTCAAATCGTTCTTTTTCATATCAATTATGGCTTTTTCTTTTCCGAACAGCCCTCTTATACCAAACTCGTGCAGAGTATATATATTTTTTGTGGGCAGTTTTATACTTAGAAAATTACTACGCTGTTTATGTATCCTAATGCTGTTGATTTTTTTCTTTTTCATACACCCTCGAATGTAAACTTGAATTTATTTAAAGAATGTAATTATTATGATGATTTTGACATCTCCATCCAGTCTGTTCTTGCAATATAATGGTGTAGCATCTTCTATCCTTAGCCTTTTGAACAAAAGGTTTCTCAACCTGTTATGTCCTGTGAGGAATCTAAGTCAAACACTTGCTCACAAACCGCTTGATCACTGCAACAGAATTAATAATATGCATCGCCTGGTGGCCTGGATGTAAACTCCCTCTTGGTTCTATAAGCACATCTTGCATCTGGGCCTTATCATAAATTATCCCAGGTACAATATATTGTAGACTGCCTGTGATAAGCTGATAATGTACGCCAAGTTCACATTTAATTGATCACTTTGTTACAAGGGAGTTCTGGAAGAAGTACTCGCCACGCAGAAACATTCACGTAATAAGCACAATTAGGGAAAGGAAACTAGTTGAGTGACTGAACAAAAGCCACTGTCATAGTGAAGGAGTGTATTAACCACCACTTGCAAGGCATCTTTTAAAACACTGAATTTAAATTCTCACACATTATTTTAAAAATAAACCAGAATTTGGAAACTCGACTGAACTTTCTTTACAACCCATCCCTCCCACCCCCACTCCCCTCCCCAATGCAATGGACCCTTTTATGTACTAAGATATGGTGCTGCACTATATTTAACTACATCAATTAGTACTCAACAGGTGATGCGATCAACATCACACCGCCTGCCTTTCATTCCCTTTACACAGAACCTATTTTGAGCTGACCTGAGATCAGTCGGCCAGAGAGTAAGTGTGCTAGCCATTTCTCCACTGCAGCCCTTACTTTTGCTGCCATTGTAAAAAACAAAAATTTTACACACACAAAAAAAGAAGAAGAGGAGCAATACCTGATCTACAGTCATTTCAACAATTTCTAGGTTGCCATCATATGTAACAACTTCCTCAGAGTCAACAGCTGCATCTGTGTAGCTCTGATTTGATGCTTTTTTATCAGAGTAGATGGAAGTAAATTCATCAGGAACAAATTTGTTATTCCGTGTTCTTTGCCGCCGCAGTGCTGCCTTTTTTTCCAACACCTAATCAGGGAATACATAAACTTAGAATTACAATTATGTTCTGTCTGGGTATTTCATGGAACCTTCTCATTACATTCATCAACATAATCACCATAATGTTTCTTGGTGACTGGTGTGTATGATCATGCTTCTCATCCTGCAATCTCTAGTACAGCGATTCTCAACCTGTGCGTGACGACCCATCTTGAGGTCTAACGACCCTTTTACAATTACACATCTGGATTACCTATTCTGCATCTAGAGTATCTATTCATGTGTAACAGAAATGTTTGGGACTCAATGCTAAGTGGTAGGACACCAGAAAGTTGTTCGGAAAATTTCCTAGTAAAACCTGTTCACAAGGGTCCTCTAAGTCCATCGAAAACAGATATTCATTGAGGTTATGAAGTAGAAACGAACAAAACTGTATGACTAGGGGTCGCCACAGCATGAGGAACTGTAATAAAAGGTCGCAGCATTAAGAAGGTTGAGAACCACTGCTCTAATAGCATATATCTTCTTCTTCTTAGCCGAACCCGGCCATAAACTCCGGCAGAAAGTTTAGTTGTTTGTCCACTTCTGGACTTTATGATCTTATTTCAGAACTTGAGTTTTATGTGCAAACTAATTTTACAGATCTAGTTAACTTTTGTGCAGACTGTTGGTTCTCCACTCTTAGGCAGATACTCTCCATATAGCAGGAGCAACGCATATTTAGTTGCTTCTCTAAGTTTTTTCACCTGCCTCTTGAAGTTTGTGACAAATTATCTTTGCGTCCTGGCTTCGGTCAAAATATTTATGCTGTCAAATGTTGAGAAAGGCAAGTATGCTCTGTGCAGAGAGGAAAGCATCGCTTCAGAGGTTCCGGGCAGTTAGCATTTTAGATAGTTTCTCCAGGGTATGCAGGTTTGTTTGAAAACAAACAGGCAGAAAGACTGGCTTGTTCTGACTCATTCATTTGGTGGCTAACTGATACATGACAAGCTAAATGTTATTAAGGCCCTTTTAGGGGCGAGTTAAAGGTGCAGGCGCACAGATCATTAAAGTTTGAAGACAAATAATTGTGCCGCGGGAAGTGACCAGGGGATCTGGTTGACACTCAACACTCAGGGGAAAGGCAAGAGGGATAAATATACTGTTACTGATACCATCAGAATTGGAACTCTGTGTTAGTTTCTGAAGATAGGGACGGAGCACTTGAGGGAATGTCCCAAGTGCTAAACTGTTGGCTGTCAACTCCACTCAACTCAACTTAACTCTTTAAGGCCCAAACAACGGTGTGAGCGTAGTTTGAGAAGTTCCGTTCTGCCCAAACAACGGTGTCATCGTCAATTGTGTATCTCTTACATTTTGCTTTGCACGCGCGTTCGTACTAGTTTCTAATGTTTGGAGGTACGAATAACCTATTCAGGGAAAGTCACTCTGCCGAAATCTTTTTAGTTTTATTTCTTGGTCTAAACCACACGTGGATAATTTGAGAGAGAAAAACATCAAATTTTTTTTAACAGTTCATTTTCTAAGTTTGTTTTTGAGAGCAGTGAATACCAATGTTCTAACCACAAGAACAGGTCGCAGAATGCGTCTTTCTGCGGCCGAAGCTCTGAAATTGTTTCAGTCAGATGTTTTTAATTGTGATAATGATAATTAAAATTTAGATTTTTCGGAAAGTGATTCGGACAGTGAATTTTCACCAGTGAAGCTGAGCAATCAGCTGTTCGGAATCTAGCGATTCTGACAAGTTTATTACACAGACAATGTCCCATACTACCGTATTTATGGTGTAAGAGAAAGAAAGTGCTCTAAACAAAGAGATAGTACTATACTATGGCTAAGCTACATTGAAATCATCGCAGCTACAGTCTGTAAATAACTGTACAAAGTGAATAGTAAATAGTGTGTGTGTAATGCTCATTTTCTGCCATTTTTTCTCTGAAATTTTGCTTAGCACTCGGTGGGAACTAAGAACCCCTGAGTGATAAACTAACCCAGAAAGTTATCATAACTTTAGAATATGTTAGGAAATTGAACAAACTTTGAAGTTTTGTTCTCAAATTTGGATATTTACTATTCTTGTGGCTGCAAAACCATGGTAAGTGAAGAATTTTTGTGTGAAATGTTGTCCTTGTGAAATTAACACCTGCTGAATTCTTTTTCCCACTAACTATAACGAAATCAAACAAACACTTATCATCAGATTCACAAAGTACATTCATTTTTCTTTTAAAAAATATATACTTTTATAGGGATTAGAAGTGTATTACAATCTCTACAGCCTTTCTTGTACACCCATCCCTCTGCCAGTTTTGTAAAGGGAAATTAATGTGGGCCAAGTCTGTCATAATTCATGGGCCTGATAGAGTTAATACTTAGGAATATCTGGTATTCTTCTATAAAATCACATCTCTGAGCG